GGCTCTGTGCATGACAGGGGGCGACGCCCCAACTCCCCAATCGGCCCTGCTCTGAGCCTGACCAGGGGCTGCACCTAGGGATTAGGCCTGCCCTTTGCCACCGGTCGTTATCTCCCGAGGGGTCCCAGACTGCAAGAGGGCACAGGCCGGGCTGAGGGACCCTCTTCCCCCCCGAGTGCACAAACTTTTGTGCACCAGGCCTCTAGTATCTAATAAGCAAGAAAGTTTTTTTCTTAAAAGTTTAAACATAGATCACAAAGCAGTTGCTCTTCTTAAATAATTTAGCCTTCTATTTGTATAACTATTCTTTTTTAATAATATATTTTTATTGATTCAGAGAGGGAGAAAGACAGAGGGATAGAAACATAAATGATGAGAGAATCATTGACTGGTTCCCTCCTGCACTGGGGATCGAGCTGCAACCCCATCAGGTGCCCTGGACCGGGAATGGAACTGTAACCTCTTGGTTTATAGGTCGACACTCAACCAATGAGCCACTCTGACCTGGCTAGTGTAACTATTCTTTTGGACATTTTAAATATGTTAAGGACATAAAATATATGAGATTTTTAAAATTAGTGCTTCATTTATGTAATGTCAAAAGCTATTCTAAAGCATCAGTGATAAGGTCAATTTCTACATAATTTCTATACTCGTAATTCCTTCTTATTGCTATGCTAATTTTAACATCCTGCTAAAGTTTCAGTAATATTACTTTGTTTGCTTTTCTGGATTTTAGTTATCTTAAGGCAAGACTTAAGGCAGGATTAGAGGATCTGGTTTATCAATCAACTGTTTCTTACTCAGGACTTGGGACCTGATTGTATAATCCAGGATCATTGAAACCTGATTTGACCAAAGTATATCCAAACCAAAATGATTATAATCAACTTTTAGGAATTAATCATTCAAAATTCATATGTTGGTAAAATGATATGTACAAACCCAAATGATCATCAGCAGCAGATGGTTAAGTAAAATATATCCATTTAATGATGTATAATTTGGCTAAGTATAATATACTACAATTTATGTAAAAAAATTACATCTTTGAGTGTAGGTGTACATATATTCTCCAAGCCATATCAGGTTATTCAAATCTATCCTGGTCTAGTCAAAAGCATGAGGTTTCTGGAGTTGGGGATAATGAAATACTTCCCTGTTCTTCTCACTAATAACCCCTCAAGTGTTTGTGTGGAGTGAACAGAGGGGAAATGATCATTTTTGGAGCTATAAGGCAAGTGAGATCTTATGTAGCTTCTTTTGCTTCCCCCAGCTCTGTCTTTTTCCTAAAGAGGAGTTCAGAGGACAACTGGTTCTTTTCTGCAAATATCAAAGCCATGGCTCAGGTGAGATGCTATGTGCGTTGTTTGTGTGGGTTTCTTTGTGTTGTTTTGTTTGCTCAAATGGAGCCATTTTTATCCCTAGTATATGTAAACATTTGCTTTCCTCATCATGATGCTTTCTGATGGTTAAAAAGACAAAAAAAAAAAAAAAGAACTTTCAGACAGTTAGTTATAAGCAATTACAAACTTCTCTTACCTTTGCTTTGAAGAAAAAGGTCTCTAATAAGCCAATTCAAATATTTCTCTGTTTGTGGAGATAGTTATAGAAAAAAGAAGTGTTTCAATAATCATTTTTGGAAAAAAGAAAAGAATGTCTAGTTAAAGATCTTTCTTTAAACTCTTGCAGATAACTGTTAGAGGGTCAAGTGGTTGGATAACAAGTTTCTCTGAAGAGGTGTCAATCAGGCTAAAATTTATCAGGAATTCATCAAGAAACATTACTTGTTTACACCAAGAGATTGTGAATTACACAATGAAAAATGGTCTGACTGAGACCAAGTTTGGAAAATAAAATTTTGCACTGGTTAACATATCCCTCTTCAGGAAACTGACCCCAATTTTCTCCTAAACAAACCAATGCCCCTACACACAACCAGTTCTCCCTTCTCTTTTTTAATTTTAATTTTTTAAAAATATATTTTTATTGATTTCAGAGAGGAAGGGAGAGGGAGAGATAGAAAGAAACATCAATGATGAGAGAGAATTATTGATTGGCTACCTCCTGCACACCCCCTACTGGGGATCAAGCCTGCAACCCAGGCACATGACCTTGACTGGAATCGAACCCAGGGACCCTACAATCTGCAGGCCAACACTCTATCCATTGAGCCAAACCAGCTAGGGCCTCCCTTGTTTTAAACAATGTTTATAGACTCATTTTGTAAGTACTTTAGTACCTTCTATCTTAGACATCTACCAGAAATCTAGATTAATTTGTTAATGAATCTAATTTTCTTAGTGATTTGATAGGGTAAAATAATTAAGGACACCTCATAGGGAAAAGTCCGGAACATCTCTGCAAACTTAGGTTTTCCAATGAAAAAAAAATATGTGGAATAAGAGTCTGTTTGATTTCAGTCTTAATAATGGAATGATCTCCTCCATCTGTTTTGTGTAGCTTAGGAATAAAGGGAATTTCCAGTTGAACAATGGGTGTGGTTATAAGATTGGGCTAATGTTGGAAAGATCTCTAATGATCACCTGTAGCTTTAATATCTGAAAGCAAAAGAAAAGTTATCATTTATATCCCTATAATAGAATATTATTCAGTGAAAAACATGCTTATGAAGAGAATTTGTTGTAACAAGGAATAGCTCTTATTATATAATATTGTGACATTAGAATGGTTCAGTCTTGAACTATATGCAAATTAAATTTTCTAAGATAAAGTATTTTTGAAAGTCATTGTATACTTGTGTACAAGTGAAGTAGTACTATTACAGTCTTATCACCAGTTTCACTCCTAAAAGGTGGCTGCCTTCAACCCTCTTTTTTAATTTAATTTTTAAATTACAGTTGATTTTTAATATTATTTTATATTAGTGTTAGGTATACAGCATAGTAGTTAGACAATCACTTAATTTACAAAGTGATTCCCCATGATACTTCAACTACCTGCCTGGCACCATACATAGTTATTATAGTATTATTGACTATATTCTCTATATTGTATTTTACATTGCCATGACTTTTGTAATTGCCAGTTTGTACTTCTAAATCCCTTCATCCTTTTCACTTAGCCGCCCAACTTCCTTTCCCCTTCAACTCTTGCATGTGGTTGAATTGCTATTTTTTGAAGAATCAATTTACTTATTATCTCTTGACTTACTGCAGAGTGGAGGGGACATTGTACTCCCATATTGCTCCCTTAATTTCCTCTGATTCTGTTATTAATTATATTACAATTTTTGGTTACATCAATAGTGTATGAGATATTAGTATGTAAATATCACTCACTGCTGAGCTAGCTCAGCTTTATTCTATTACAACTTTTTATTTTTCCTGAGGATAATTTTTTTTCTCACATTTGCTTAATTATCAATGTATTTAAAATTTTATTTTTTTTATTTTTGTTGATTTCAGAGAGGAAAGGAGAAAGAGAGAGAGAAACATCAATGATGAGAGAGAATCATTGATTGGCTACCTCCTGCAGGTCCCCCACTGGGGATCGAGCCCACAACCTGGGCATGTGCCCTTGACCAGAATCAAACCATGGACCCTTCAGTCCGCAGGCCAACATTCTATCCACTGAGCCAAACCAGCTAGGGCTATCCATTTATTTTTATCCAAAGTCTCCAGAATCATTGTCACATGCCAATTAATATGTTTTTCATCTGGTCAAACACATCATTTTTTTTTTGAATGTGGAGACTTTCATCTCCATTCCCTTTTTAATCCTGCTCCTTGCTAGTCTGGTTACTCTCTAGGCCTGTTGCAATTTCCTCAAGACTTCCCTTTTTTCTTCTGTTTCCTGGGATGTCCACTGTTTTCCTGTGCTAATTTACCTGTTTCTTGAATCTCATGTCTTCCTCTTTTCTGGTTTACTTCCCCATTTTGGTGGAGCACATCATTTGGAGTTTCCTAAGAAATTGTGCTTGTGTCCTTTTATGTCTAGAAATGTCTTTTTTGCAGCCCTTACAATAGGATGATAGTTGATTATAGAATTATTGGTCAGAATTTCTTTTTTCCATAAGAATATTGAAGACTTTTTCTTATTTCTTATTTTTAACTAGAGGCCCGGTGCACAAAATTTGTGCATGGGTAGGGTCCCTAGGCCTTGCCGGTGATCAGGGTTGATTGGGGCCTTCCTTCTGGCTGCTGGCCAGGGCCTTCCTTCATTCCATGCCACCCTCTTGTGGTCAGCGCACATCATAGGGGTCTCTGGGTTGAACTCCCGAGGGGACACTTTGCATATAAGGCTTTTTTATATATAGATAGTGTTGTAAAGAACCCATTGCCTCTCTGATTCTTGATGTCTTTTATATGATCTACTCTTCTCTGGATGCTTTTAATGTCTTCACTTTCTTCCTTCTTCTGAAATTTTACTTTTAGCATTTGGAAAAAGAGGAGAGAAAGAAGCACATTTGTATTGAATGACAAGTATTGTGTTAGGCATTTGTACATACCAATTCATTTAATCAGGAAACTTCTCTTGGTAGACCGTAGCTTCCCAGACTTATGTAGATAGTGGAAGTATCCCAGTATACACAGGCAGTTTTGTCTGGAGGAAACATAATGACATGGAAACTCATTGGTTCAGTCATGCTTATTTGTTTACAATCCTCTACTTGCATCCCAGACATTCAGCCCTTCTCCATATGCTTGCTATTTTTCACTTCTACCTTTATTTATTTTCTTCTCTTGGCTTCACAAAAAACATTTTTTAAATTAATCAAGTCATATGCATGATTGTTGTTCCAGGAGTCAGTGATGTTCAGTGATGTGTCCATAGACTTCTCTCAGGAGGAGTGGGAATGCCTGAATGATGATCAGAGAGATTTATACAGAGATGTGATGTTGGAGAATTACAACAACCTGGTTTCAATGGGTAAGGACATCTGTCCATATTAATTCAGATTCTGCCCTCAGAAGGTCTGCTTCCTCCAGGGTGAAATACTCACTTACCTTTCAAGTAACCAGTTAGATTTCTAATTCAGTTCCCAGAGGAATGTTTTTATTTTTATTTTAAATATGTTTTTATTGATTTCAGAGAGGAAGAGAGAGAGAGAGAAACATCAGTGATGAGAGAGAATCATTAATTGTCTTCCTCCCACATGCCCCACACTGGGGACCGAGCCCGCAACCCGGGCATCTGCCTGGACCAGGAATTGAACCATGACCTCCTGGTTCATAGATCAATGGTCAACCACTGAGCCATACCAGCTGGGGTCTTCAATTCTTTCTTAATGAAGGAACTGGATTTGAATTCTGGGACATTCTTATCGTAAACATGTCTCATTACTTCTTTTGTAAGCAGGACATTCTATTTCTAAACCAGATGTGATCTCCTTCTTGGAGCAGGGGAAGGAACCCTGGTTGGTTGACAGAGAAGTAACAGGAAGCCAATATCCAGGTAAGTGAGGCATGACAGAAATGACCCAGTTAGTCAATGGAGAGGCTACACCTTTGAGATGCTCCCTGGGAAGTTTCCTATAAAAGCTTTAAGCCTGTTGTGCAAAAGTAAGATTTTCAGCATGACTTTCAAGTGACTTTACCTTTTCCCCTTTCTTAACACATTGCCTGTTTTTTTTCCTCTTACACTTCTCTCCTAATTTTAACCAGCTATTGCCCTCCTCTGCCTTCTCTAATGATATTTCTTCCTATCCATATTTTGGATCTAGTTTCTTATCATCTTCTCAATCTCTTTTGTATTAGCCTTAAAAAAAGCGTCACTGTTTCCTGAAATATATTCTTTTCTACATTGCCAAAGACTTGTTTTTTTAGAATTTTTTAGATACAGTAGTTCCTATACTCATTGATTCAGTCATACTTTTAATGAACATTTACTGATTTTCTAATTTACTCTTCTAGGTGCTGGAGATAATTAAAAAAGGACTAAGAAGTTATAAAGTTTATAACTTAGTAGGAGTACTAGAACATGTTTACATGTAACTTATACAAAGTAGAACCACTATAAGAGCAGTTTAAAAGGGAGCTCAGCAGAAAGTTAGAGTAAAAAAATAGAAGAGTTGATACACATACAAATCATAGAAGGAGGTGTTTTTTTTTAAGTTTTTCTGTATTTTTTTGTAATGTTTTAATTGATTTTTTCTTTTTTTAGAGACAGGAAGGGAGTGGGGTTGAGACATAGAAACATTGATGAGAGAGAAACATCATCGATTAGCTGCCTGCCTCCTGCACGCCCCTCTAGGGATCGAGCCTGCAACCCAGGCATGTGCCCTGACTGGGAATCGAACCCATGACCTCTTAGTCAACGTTCAACTGCTGAGCCACACTGGCTGGGCCATAGAAGGATATTTAAGCATGCATGTCATTGACTTTAAATAGAATAATGAAATAAAGGGTTTGTGCCTCCATTGAGAACTTAGAGCTGGCAAAGATAAAGAGATTTGGTATGAAGGAGGAAAAGAGGACAGCATATCATCAGTATATGTTTATCGAGAACTATTCTGAACTCTGATGTTACTAGTATAGTAGTGAATAGAACATGAAAAAACTTTATTCTCAGAGCTTACCCTCCAATGTAGGAATAGATACACAGTAAATAAATATATATCAGGTAATAGTAGGTACTAAAAAGAAAAGTGGAGAGAGGAGTTAGGCAGCGGTTCTCAACCTGTGGGTTGCAACCCCTTTGGTGGTCAAACAACCCTTTCACAGGGGTCGCCTAAGACCATCCTGTATATCAGATATTTACATTATGATTCATAACAGTAGCAACATTACAGTTATGAAGTAGCAACAAAAATAATTTTATGGTTGTGTCACAACATGAGGAACTGTATTTAAAGGGCCAGAAGGTTGAGAACCACTGGGTTAGAGGGTGCTATTTTATGTGACATGATAAAATAATGTGACATTTTCCATTAAGGTGACATTTGTGTAAAGACCTGAAGAAGTACAGCAGTACTTCTGATGTATTTTTCAATCTGAGGACTCATCTTTTTTGGTGATAGGAAGTCCTTGGCAGTCATCCCTTCAAATATTACCTTGCTACCATTTCCTCTTTTCTCTTTTAAGCTCTTGTTAAATAGACATTAGAACATCTGGATCATCTCCAATGTATTTAACTCTTCATCTGTTTTTCCATTTATACTGATTTAACATAGAATTTCATGGCTTGATTTGTGTTGATTCACTAATGTAATTGTTAGCTATGAGCTTTTGGCTCTTCAACCTTCCCATTAAGTTTTTTATTTTAAAAAGATAGTTATATTTTTTTTTTGTAGAGACTTAGTTTGTGACCTATGTGGTCTATCTTTGAGAATGTCCCATGTACACTTGAGAATAATGTATATTCTGTGGCTTTGGCATGAAATGTTCTGTAAATGTCAATTAAATCCATCTGATCTAGTGTGTAAATGTCAATTAAATCCATCTGATCTAGTGTGTCTAAAAAAAATAATAAAAAAAAAGATAGTTATTTTTTTTAAATAAAAAATGTACTTATATATACAATGGGTATATATACAATGGGGTATATATTAGTACAATTTATAAGTATATAAAATATACTTATATATACAATGGGGTATATATAATTTATAATTAGCATAAAATTATAGGATAACATGTAAATCTCTAGATTTGCATGTGTAAGATTTGCTAGGAAATACACCTAGGAATATAATTTCTGGCTCTTGGCCTACATATTTATTCAGCTTTACTAGGTAATACCCAGCTATTTTTCAAGTGTTTATATCACTTTCTCTCCCTATAATTGGTATTATAAGATTTTTTTCATTTTCTTAACAATCTGAATGATGAGTATAAAATCTTATTTCACTGTTTTAAATGATTTGTAGGAATTTCTTATATATTTTTCCAGATACTAATTTTTGGTCAGTAACATGTTTTATAGACATCTTTTCCAGTTGTAGCTTCTTTGTTTACTTTCTTTATTATATCTTTTGATTAATAATAATTCCCTGTGTTAGTATGCTTAAATTACATATTTAGTAGTTCAATTATATATAGTTTATTAAAAACATTCTACTTTTTTCCTGTATGTGTCACATCTTTGGGGGTCATAAGAAACCTTTCCTGCCCAGCCAGCATTGTTTAGTGGTTGAGCGTTAATCTTAAAAAAAAAAAAAAGAAACCTTTCCCTAGCCTAATTTTCTCCTGTTTTTTATATTTTGACTTGCGTATTAAAGTCCTGTTAATGTAACTAGAATTGATTTTTATGAAAGGTGTGAAATAGAGATCAGTTGTAATTGGTTCCCATATAGAAAACAAATTATCTAGGCCCCAACCAATAAAAGTTTTCCACTGATCCACATGTTTCTTCTGTCATATATTAAAAGTCTTTGTTTACATAATTCTCCCTTGTTCTGTTGGCTTTTTTATCTATTCCCATCCTAATTATTCTTGCTTTTAATATTTTATATATATTTTTATTGATTTCAGAGAGGAAAGGAGAAAGAGAGAGAGAAACATCCATGATGAGAGAGAATCATTGATTGGCTGCTTACTGCACTCCCCACACTGGGGATTGAGCATGCAACTCAGGCATGTGCCCTGACCGGGAATCGAATGACCTCCTGGCCCACAGATTGATACTCAACCACTGAACCATGCTGGCCAGGCTACTCTTGCTTTTATAAAACACTAGAGGCTTAGTGAATGAAATTTGTGCATGGGTGC